CTCCATGGAGACCGGCTCGGGACCCCCATGGGCAGGGCACGCTTGGTGAGGCAGATGGGATGGGGCCATGGGCAGGTGGGGAGTGGCATCTAGCAGCAGGATGGGCGGCCAGGGCTGGGATCTGGGACTATGATGGGCCTAGCATGAATGTGTGGATAACGAGGTGTGTTCCCATTCCCCACTGAACCTGGGAGGGCATGAATGGAAGCACCAGGCCAGGTGGGCCATCTTGCTCCTCAGCCTTGTTTCAGATGGACTGATCACTGGGGACTTTCAGATGCAAGCAGCAGGCAAACACATTTCACCTGGGTTGGTGGTGGCCCACAAGTTCCATAGATTTAATATATTTCATAGACATTAAGGCTGGAAGGGACCTTGTGAGGTCATCAGGTACAGCCCCCTGCCCATGTAACAGAATGTATTTTTTCCCCTGGCCTGGGAATGTGTTTTCCTTGGTGCAGCATTTGCCTTCACAGAGCAGGCTCTAGCATACATTTGCTTCGCCAGCCGGGTGGTAGTGCTGCCTGCAAAGCTCCATTGTCACCTTTCAGGTCCAAGGTTGGCCTCTGCAGGAAGCTGGGGCAGGTGTGATAGGAAGCAAACCGGTGGGGAAACCGGCAGCTGCATGCCAGCTACTGTGTGTGTGTCTGTTCACTGGGCCTTGCCCTTGTTGCCTCCCCTGGGGAGCTGTGAGAGGCAAGATGATGGTGCAATGGGATGAAGCCCCTTTGTGTTGCCAACAGGAGGGCTGGGTTTGTTAACGCTGCTCAATGGTACTGTGGAAGTAAAGGGCCGTGTCAGAGAGAACAGGCCAGTTCTTTCAAAGAACTCCTGCATTCAGTTTCACCAAGAAGAGCCATAGCCAAGGTCCCAAACACAGGTGAGAATGGTTTCCTCCCAGAAATGGGTGCAAGGTGGTTATCAGGCTGTGGCCTCGAACCTGGAGCCTTGGCCTGCCTGGTGCAGCCACTCGTTGCAGTGTCCCCCTCCTCAGCTGAGCACCAGAGCAGATATAGGTGGTCAGAACCCGTTATCTGGGCCTAGCCACCAACACACTCCCTGCCACTGGAGTGACGAGCAAGGGTCAGCTGACCCTTTACCCCTCCCTAGAAAAACCCCTGACCCAGAAGAGGAAGTTTCCAGACAACATCTTGTACCCAGGCTGCCTCACCCTTGGCTTGTGCCTCTGTTGGATTCTCCGGCAACCCGACCTGGGTTGCCTGCAGACCCTGAGTTTGACCTGACCCTTTGGCTTTCTAACCCACCTCTGGTTTAATCTCTCAGATACCTGACCCTGCACCCTGCGTGACCCTCTGGATCTCTGATTCAGTCCCCCAGATGGTCCTTCTGGCTTCCTGGCTCCCCATCACTCAGACTGCACACTCCCCTCAGATCTTGGTTGCTTCTTCTGACCCTGGGGGACCCCCAGACTTGGCCACCCACAGCCCGGCATGACAGTGATCAATGTGCCTTGATGAAGGGTAAAGCCAGGGTAGATTTAGCACAGAGAAAATAATGACTCTGAATCAGATCCCCACTTCTTCCTCCCAAGGGCCTTCACTAGACAAAGATACCAGTCGATGGTTTCAGCCCTATCAGCTGACACAGACAGAAAGCATTGTACTAAAATCTCCTTTTCTAAATCGCCTTGAACAATTCTTCTCTGGCATCGGCCTTGATGAATGGAGTTCTGTCCTCAGCGGTTCAGCTGGGAAGGGACACCAACCAGGCAGAGCTCTCTCTGGTATCATTAGCAGAGCACGGGTGGGCTGATAAGCACTGAAGGAGCATATTGATCCACAAAGGAGAAAGCACAAAGCTAATGTCTTGGAAATGACTTTGCTTTATCTGGTGAAACCCAGGCTCTTCCCTCCTGCTGGTCCCTGGGCTGGGCTCTTACGGAAGCTTCCAAACCAGGTGAAACGTGACAGCTGGAAGGAACAGGTCTGAAAGACCGGACAATTAACACTTGCTTTTTTCCTAATAAGAGGAGGAAAAACAATAAAATGCACCATGTTGCTGCCTGAGGTTTGAGGTTAATAATTGGGGATGGGACGATGAGATGCATGAATGGTGGGATTAGAAATTGGGAGAGGTAGGGGCTATTCTCGGCTCTGCTGCTGATCTTACTCAGCAGATCGCTGGGCAGATTGCTTCACATTTAGGTGCATATGTCTGTCTCTCATCGGTCAACTGAGAATAGCAGTGCGTGTCTTCTAAGGGCACTGTGCTGGCCAAGTGATGTTTGGGAGAAGTCCAAACTCTCTACAGAGAATGATGTTGAAAAATTCAAGGGGTAAGACTTTGATTAAGTAGTAATGTGGATGCTAGTAAGATAGCAGCTTTCTAGGTGCTGTAGTGGGCAGGCAAGAAGCTTTACAAACCAGATGTCTGCCTGCAAGTCTTCTCTCTCCTGGGTCTCCACCTTGGAGTATTTCTGCCATTCCATCAGGAAGCCAGAGTTGCTTCATAGCCTGCTAGGGTTGAGTATTTGACCAGACCAAAAAGACTTGGTCAGTTGCCTGTCAAATACTGCTAAATAATGGTCAGGTATTTTAAACACTGATTTATTAGATCAATACAGAGAGAGACTTTCATTTTTAGCAAGTTGGATGCTTATAAGTTACAAAAACCCACAATGTCGTTAACTGTTATTGTGAAACAAGGAAATGGAATCGTACAAAATTGTAATGAATGCATATAACAAACAGATGGTAGATTAGTATCACTGGGAGCAATATTCAGCACTGAATGGTAGTTTTCCCTGCCTTTTATCCCAGAATCCTGGGTCAGTCCAACCAGCTATGAAATGCAGCAAATGAAATTAAACAGAAATGAAACACAGCAGCTATATAAAGGACAGAAGTTGGCTGTTCTGGTTTGGGTTCCTCCCTCAGCACAGAGTAGCTCCTGTGAGAGAGGGGGAGAGAGTATCTTCACTCTTGTGGGGTGAGGAGCTGTTCCTCCTGCCTTTGCTAATGGATGATACCAGGATGCAAGAGAGGCTGCTACCTATACAAGGGCATTTTTAGCTTTGTGGCGTTTTTGACTGCAGTCAAGTAATAGGGATTCAGTCGACATAGCTAACAGCATCCTGGGCTGCATTAGTAGGAACATTGCCAGTAGATCAAGGGCAGTGATTCTTCCCCTCTATTCTGCACTAGGGAAGCCACATCTGGAGTCCTCTGTCCAGTTCTGGGCCCCCCACTACAGAAAGGATGTGGACACATTGGAGAGAGTCCAGTGGAGGGCAACAAAAATGATTTGGGGGCTGGGACACGTGACTTGGGATTGAATAGCAGCCTTAAACCACCTGACAGGGGGGTTGCAAAGACGATGGAGCTGGACTGTTCTCAGTGGTGGCAGATGACAGAACAAGGGCAATGGGCTCAAGTTGCAGCAAGGGAAGTTGAGGTTGGATATTAGGAAAAATCTTTCTCACTAGGAGGGTGGTGAAGCACTGGAACAGGTTATCTAGAGAGGTTGTGGATTCTCCATCCTTGGAGGTTTTGAAGATCTGACTCAAGAAAACCCTGGCTGGGATGATGTAGTTAGGGATGGTCCTGCTTAGAGCAGGAGGTTGGACTTGATGCGACCTCCTGAGGTCCCTTCCAACCCTCATTTTCTATTATTCTATTGGTTGGGTGGTCAGTTGGGCACCTGGCTCATCCTACAGCTTGCTTAGGAATGGAACCAATCATTGTTATACAAGATCCCAAAAGATTGTGGCCTGTATGTGCCAGACCGTCTTTCCTGGCACTCAAGAATGCACCAAGCTTAGCCTGACTTCCCAGTTTGGGGTACTGAGCAATAAGATGTCACATTAAAACGAGTTTTGTGGCACCTTGTGGTAGACTTTCTGTTGTTTCTGGCTTCTAGTCACTTGCACGTAAGAGGGGACTAATGTTCAGTGTGACTGGATGGTCCATCTGCAAACTTTCTCCCTTGTGGAGCAGCCCACGTTTCAAAGTTACATCAGTGCTTTAAAAATCTGGCTCAGAAAACAAGACAGTGGAGAGGTATGTTTAGATGTGGAATGTGTTTGCTTGAGCCTGTCTGTAACAAGTCTGGCTTTTCTCAAGAATCTGGAATGATCCAGGCTGGATGTGCTACAGGATACTCAGCAAGAAAAAGTCATGTTGTTGGAGAGAAGAAGATTGAGCCAGGTCCTGGAAGGCTGGGGTTCTTTCCCTTGCTCTGTCATTGACTTGGACTTCTTGGATGAGTTGGGGACCCAGCCTTCCAAAGTGGCAGGCAGATGTTAGCGGGAGCCACAGGTACTGGGCCCTCCCCATAACCGGGCTCTCGGGCCTGGCTTGGCTGTGATGTTAACTCAGGTTTGCCCCTGATTGGACACCTGTTACATGTGTGCATACCTATCTGGTTTGGAGTCAGCAGTGCTTTAAGCTCCAGATAGGAGGACTGCTAAAGGAGAGGGGGCAGGTTGGAGTCCAAGTATTTCTGATGCTGGAGGTGGTCATGTAGAGGGATCGAGCATCTCTGGTCACAGCTGCTGCTCAGAAGCTAACCCTATTGCTGTTTGTAGCTTGACTGCTGTTCTGGGGACATGCCAAGCCCCGATCTGTTAATTGAAGACAAGTCCTGAATCTCACTGAACCTAATCCAAGCCTGATGCCAGTCCAAGGAAGTTAATGCGGTTAAACCTAACATCAGTTTAGTCCCTTCTACCTCAGTTTCCACACTGGGGATGTTACGCACCCATGGCACTAAAGGATCACTAAAGCATAATCAACCCAGAGTGAACATGGAATATGCCTCACACCATTCAGCTTAACTAAAATCTAATTGTATTAACACATGAAATGTATTAATATTTTCTACATAGAAAGAAAAACATTTAGTTAAATAGTCTTACCCAATCTCAGATGTCACTCCACTTCATAGAAAAGATGGCCAATCAGTTTCTGAAAGTAGAGGGTGGTCTTCTGTGGGTAATGGCTGTTTTTGGATGACAACACATACCGAATTTCTTGTTAACCCCCCTTTTATGCTTTTTCTTTAACTTTACTCCTCTGACTCTTCATTTCCAGGTACCATTGATTGATTTTGATGTGAGCATCGTCATACTATTCATGTTTTTATCCTGTCAGCCTATTCCTTTGTTCCAACAAACCCATCATATGCACACAATTTACTTTGATCTTTTCCCAGTGTCTTAATTTGGGCCTGCCCTGGACTCCTAATTTGGTCTGTCCATAAAAGCCAGAAATTAAAAGGGCTCTGCAGTTGGGCACTGTTCAGTTGGTCCCCTCATATCACTTTTCATTAACGTATCCAGTCATGTCATCCCTCTGATTTAGTTGGTTAGTGCCAAGTTCAATTAATTTGAACTAGTAAGAAGGGCCACACTATACAAGGTCTGTTCAAAAAGTATCGAGACTGAACGTGTATTTGTGGTACACACTATTGCGGGGGGCGTGGCTTTGATGAATATGTCTGGGCATGTTGGGACTCCTCTGGACAAGTTTGCAACTCATGGTGTTTTCCTGGTTTTCTGTGGCCAGCAGTTGAGTAAGATTATTTGTGTCTCATGTCCCCTTTTGTTGTGTCACAGTGCCCAGAACAATGCTTGTGCATTCAATTTTGCATGAAAATTGGGAAAATGGCAAGTGAAACATCTGAATTACTTAAAATAGCATTTGGTGATGACACTATGAGTCATGCAAGAGTTTTTGAGTGGTATCATCGGTTTAAAGAAGGACGATCGTTGGTCAAAAGTGATGAGCATTCCGGATGCCCTTCAACATCATGAAATGATGAAAATGTGGCAGTGCTTTGCAGTTTGGGTTGAAATGATAGGCGATTTACTGTCCGAGAGATAGCAGAAGAAGTTGGAATTTCTGTTGGTTCATGTCATTCAATTCTAAGCAGTGACTTAGAAATGAAACAATCAGAAAAGTGACCAGAAAAGTGGGCGTCCGACTCTTGGATGCTTTACCATGGCAATGCGCCTGCGCACTCAGCACAGCTTATGAAGCAGTTTTTAGCAAAATTTTAGCCAAACACCATATCCCACAAGTGCCATAGTCTCCATATTCATGTGATTTGGCCCCATGTGACTTTCTTCTCTTCCCTCAACTAAAGAAAACCTTGAAAGGAAGATTTTGTGATGTGGTTACCATAAAACAAAATGCTACTGAGCACCTTTTGCGATTCCACAAATCGCTTATCAGAGATGCTTCCAACAATGGAAGAAACGTTGGGAGAAGTGTGTGGCTGCAGAAGGAGCATACTTCGAAGGAGATAAAGCTGAAACTCCTGTAAATAAAATATTTTGTTTCCTACAGCATCAGTCTTGATACTTTTTGAACAGACCTTGTACATGCCTATATTGATAATGCTGGCACATAAGCTCCCTATGAAAGTGTGCTCAAGGCTATTTGCTGATAGTGCAGACACAAAATGAAACAGAAAAGTTCAAATAATAATGAGGCTATAGAGAAGCAATGGTTAAATAAGGCTGAATATAACAGAAACATTCAAGTAATACTATAAGTCACTACTCAAGCAGGTGCAACTAAAGCTAAATGTGACAAGCTACCTTAACAGGGAAGCAGAGATGAATTCTGACTCTGGATTGTTTTGAGCCCAAACTGTGTTTGCTAGGCATGCTGACTTTCCTAGAAGGGCTAGAGGGGTGTTGCAACAAAAAACACCTGCCTGGGAATGCATACCAGTGAAGACTTGTGAAGGGGTTGGGTGGGGATGGGGTTGATTGAGGAAGATCTTCATCTTGTTCCAGTTCTTTTTCTGACACATTGCATGAGCTGGGAGTTCCTACTGCATTGGGGTTCCCGCCTCTGAAGTGGAGGCAATGTTGACTTGCTTCCCAGAGAGGCACTGCAAGAGCAGGGAGCAGCCCTCTTGGATCATCCTTCCCGCTTTCCATGCATATGAAGCACACCTAGCCTGGCAGATCCTGGTTGTGCTGGGGGAGATACTGTTGTCAAACAGCTGCAAGTGGTGTCTAAAGCCACATCCTGAGCAGATAGTACTTGTAAGTCTCCCCCACATGGATACCTCAGAGGATGGAAATGTTTCCAGTAGCACTGGTAGAGAAAAACGATGAGCTCAGATGTGGGGAAAGTCTCGGGCCAGGACTGGTTGCCATGAGGTCCATTCTAGATCCAGGCTCTGAGGCTGGTGTGCGTTTTGATTTCTGAGGGCACCACTTCAGCACAGAAAAACACAAGCGTTGCTACCCTAGTTCGGAGCAGCAGTCCATCTAGCACAGCAGCCAGCAGAAGATGCTTTACGGGGTGGGTATATGTGCAGGGCATGTAAGCCATCCCCTGTCAGACCCTCCCTAGCATCCAGCATCGTTGGTTTTGGGCTCTCAGAGGATACACCCCCGCCCCTTCTAATTCCGTTGCTCCCAGTAGGCCTGACCATGAATTTGTGTGGTCCCTTTTTTAACCTAGCTATACAATCTGCCTCTACGGCCCCTTGTGGCAAGGAGTTCCTCAAGTCAGCTACGTGCTGCCTGCAGAAGTCCTTTTGTTGGTTTTAATCCTGTTTCCTGCTTATTGTAGGGGTGCCCCCCACTTCTTGTTTCCTGGGACTTCGTGAATGTTCACTTTGTCCATACTCTTTCTGACATTAAAGACTCCTCAATCTCCTTTCCAAATGGAGTTGCCCAGCCTTTTCCCTTGCTCCAGGCACAGCTGCTGCTCCATACCCCTGATCATCTTGGTTGCCCTTCTCTGTACTTACTGTGTTCTTTTTTCCTCCAGGTCTAAGTAATAATCATGCTACCTGCTTTCCACAGGTGTTGCAAGGGCACCTTTCATTACTGAGGACTCCTTCAAATAGTGTAATTTAGAGGGGTTGAGCTCCAAAGGACCTGGAAAATGTTCAGTGCTGTTGCTTCAGAGGGTTTGGCAAAATGCAGGAAGTGGGTGCATCCAGCAGTGTGGAAAGCTGAGCTGTCTGCCTCCACTGCTGCATGGAATTCAGCTGGGGTCTGGCTTCAGAGTACATGAGATTAGGGCCGGGGTGCACGTGGTTATTTGTGTGAAGACACTGGTGTTGTAATGTAATGTCCTTCTGTGCCCAGGGAGTCAGCCTGCCTGCAGCCAAGGAGCGGGGACAGCTTGTGTTCCTGGAAGGCTTGAAGTCTTGCTTCGAGGTCCTGTTCAAAGAGGAGCCACCCACGGGACAGCCAAACCCTCTGCAGTTTATCAGGTAACCACCTGAGCCTTTAGAAAAGGTACAAGCAGTAGCATGTGGGCTCAGCATCCGGCCCAGGGACACGTGTGCCACCAATGTAGCTCGTGCCACGTGACAGCAGTTGCAACAGAGCTCCCTTCTGACCCCTCCTTCCAGGTGCTGCATGTGACAGCAATCACTCTTCAAGTCTTTTGCTGGTAGTAGCAACACATGCACTGACCCTTCTAAGTGCAGACATGTGAGTCAGTCCAAACTTGAGAGAGTGCCCAACACCACCGGTCATCTGTCCTGTCCTTAGTCACCAGCACATCTGCTCTCCCCCTGCTGGGACCCGTACAGTCCAGGAGCAGACCAGGGTTTGGGTCTTCCCCTTCAGCTGCTACCTTTGCTTTCTCTGTTCTTTGAGAGTCTGAGGAATTGGCTTCAGCCAAGACTCATGCCTTTGTGAGAAGCAGCTTCTGTCTGGGAGGATTTCAAAGAATCATAGAGAAGTGGGGCTGGAAGGTTGCTCTCGAGGTCACATCTAGTCCAACCCCCTGCCTGAGGCAGGGTCAGCCCTGTCTGTACCATCCTATACAAATCCATAATCTAATCTGTTTGTAAAATTACCATCAGCCCTGACACAACACAAGGCATCACATATGAACTGGCCACAGAGAAAGCAGGGGAACCACAGCACCCAATGGTAGAGGCCACACCCCTTGCTACAGAGGAAGGCAAACCTCTGTCCAATCTGTACCAGTCTGACCCCAGGGTAAAGCCCCTTCGAACCCCAAATGCACCGCTGGTCTGAGTTTAAGTGGAGGGGCAAGGCTCTCTAGCTAGGACCCTCCAGGGTAGAGTCCCAGCAGGAGCACTGGCACAGCCCAGTCCCCATTCCCAACCTGGGCTGCAGCCAGCACCTAATGCCTGTGAGGGAGGCCTAAAAATACTGTGGCATATAGCAGAAAGGAGGGAAGGGGGAAAACACTACAGCCCAGAAGCCTGGGAAATCCTCATGGTAGAACACAGCAGAGCTACACTTAGATCATCCTCCACCAGTGGCCGTCCAACCTCTCCTTGAACACCTCCAGCTATGGGAAGTCCACAGCTTCCCTGGCAGCTACTCCACTGCTTCCCCACTCTAACAGTGAAGAAGTTTTTCTTACTTCCTTCTGCACCATGCCTGGCACTGGCCAGCCAGTCCTTAGCTTCCTTAGCGCTTCCCTTCTCCCACATGCTTCCTAGTCAAAGGTGCAAGGTTCACTTGCACGTTCGCTCTGTCTGCATGTGCCTGGGAGAATCATAGAATCATAGAAGTCGGGTCGAAGGGACCTTGTAGATCTTCAAGTCCGACCCCCACCCTGGGCAGGAGAAAAACTGGACTCAAATGAGTCCAGCCAGGTAGGCATCAAGCCTCTTCTTAAAGATCCCCAGGGTAGGAGCCAGCACCACTTCCCTTGGAGGTTGGTTCCAGCTCCTAGCCGCCCTGACCGTGAAGTAGTTCTTGCGGATGTCTAATCTAAACCTCCTCTCCAGCAACTTGTGGCCGTTATTCCTTGTTATGCCAGGGGCCGCTAGGGGAAACAGTGTCTCTCCCAAACCCTTCTGGTCCCCCCTAGTGAGTTTATAGACAGTCACCAGGTCCCCAGACAGTCACCAGGTCCCCACCAGGGAGGCTTCTGGGCATTGATCGGAGCAGCCCAGAACTCCGACAGGCGACTGACTTCTACCTGTTGTTGCTGTAGTACACGGGCATGCTGCAACCTTGTCATGATGTGATTCTGGGCTGCAGCTGGACAGGTGGTGTAAGCAATTACACCATTGGCTATCTGCTTGGGCTTGCTGTCGGCTGGTGCTTGGCCCTCCCTGGCACATTAGCTCTGGGCAGTGCATGTCAGGCTGGTGCTGTGCCTATCCCACTGCTGCCTAGATAAACAGTGTTACATATCTGCAAGGCTGTAGGTCCAGCATTCAGTTCACACTTGCAAATGGAAACGACTCAGAAACTCTGAAATACTCACTGTTGCTGTGACTGTGCCTACCTGGGGCTCTCCTGGCTGCTGAGGAAGGAAGTGGCTCCATCCTGCTCTCTGCTGGGGGCTGAGGGATGGAGTGGGCCTCCTTCCCTGTACTTCTGAGCTGGAGACAGGTTGAGTGAGCTACTGGAAGGGGATCCTTAGAGGGAATCTTTTTCAGATACAAAGGGCAGTTGTACAGCTGCAAGGGCCCCTACAGCACATGGGACAGAGCTTTTCATCAGTAATAAGCTATTCCTCTCTCTGTGCACTCTGCAGTGCTCCTGTCTGCACCCATGGAGAAATGAGCGTGACAGAAGCACCGTGTCCCCTTCACGAGGTCACGGCTGCATTGCACTAGCAGTGCTTATTCCAGTGCAAAGCACCTTTGCATCAGATACAGCTGCTTTTTGTCACAGGAGGTCACGCTGCTTTAGTTGCTCCACTTCTGATGAGAGCAGGGCCAGTGTGGCAGGCACACCAGGCCCAGGGACACTTGTCTTCTCTTCCAGAGAGGGTGGCTCTAACCTGAAAGCCCTGTACGAGTTTGTCCGCACATCCCTGACGCCCTCGGAGAATGATTCCTGGAAGTGTCCTGTGCTGCTCGTGGATGATGTCAGCGTCCTGCTCAGCCTGGGCATGAGACCGGTGGACGTGTTGGATTTCATCCATTACTGCAGGGTCACCGTGTGCTCTCAGCTAAAGGTATGGCCGGGCTTCTCTGCTCCCCCTGCCCACAATTAGAATCAGAGAGAAGTGGGGCTGGAAGGGACCTCTAGAAATCATTGAGTCCAACCCCTGCCTAAGGCAGGGTCAGCCCTGTCCAAACCAGCCCAGACGGATGTTGAGTATCCAGACTGCTTCTCAGCGGCATTCTTCCCTTCAGTCAGTGCTGCTTTGCCTGGGATTAGCAACCACTGCTTTTCCTCCATGGGGCAGAGCTGCTGCCTGCTGTTGGATACTAATGAGCTGAGCGGGCTTTGCCCTTTGGGGTACTGATCCAATTCCAGTTCAGGCATGGACCCAAACTCCCTCTGCAGTTCCCATTTGAGTTAGTCAGAGGTATTTCAGAGCATCACCATGGTGTGAGAGCAGGGTTGGCTTCCAGCCGTTAGATGTGGCTCTGTGCTGTTTAACATCCTCTGTGCTCCATGACACCAGGGTGAGGTTTTTGGTGGCCAGGAAAGTGAGGTCTCCCCATCCCTGCTCTAGGACACTGAGGGATAACTGGTTATTGGGGTAAAGTGATGTCTTCTATGCAGATGGAAGAAATAAATATTTCTCATCTCTTCTTTTCCTAACCAAAGAGTTGGTGGGGTCTTGAGGGTCAGACATGGGATTGGCTGTACCTCAGCCATACCAGTTATCTGTCTCCGGCTCTTCTGACAGGAGCCTGAACTGAACTTTCTCCATAGTGTCTTGGATATAGCAAGAGAGACTAGATCTTGGGCATTGGAAAACTTGTGGGGGATGGGATGACCTTCAGGCACCTCAGTGGGGTTCCTTTAAGGGTAAGAAGTGGATTCACTAGGCAGGACACTGAGGGGAGAGCAGGATGTGAAACAGCACAAGGGGAGGTCTGGAGGCTGGTGGGGAAAAATCAGCACCCACTGCCTTTATAATCAATCTTGGCTGCCCTGGAGAGACAGGGGAGGGTCTGTTACAGCTAGATCAGACCTTTTCATTAAAAAAGACAAAAGCCAACAAAAAATACATTAATGAACAGGTCCACGTGGGCTGAGGCAGACTTACATGATCTGGAAGTAGTATTGGGTTGTTCAAAACTCCCCCATTCCCCACCCCGTCTCCCACAGCATGACTGATGGGAATTATCCCCCTGGCAGTGCCTCTCTTCACAGAATCAGAGAGAAGTCAGTCTGGAAGGGATCTCCAGAGGCAGGATCAGCCCTGTCCAAACCATCCCACACAAATCCATTGTCCAGCCTCTTAGCAAAACAACACAGTCAGCCCTGACACAACACCAGGCATCGCCCCTGAACCTGCCACAGGTAAAGCAGGGAGACCACAGCAGCCAGTGACCTGCTTCTATAAAAGGTTGTTAATACATGCTCCCAGGAAGAAGCCACACTCTGCACTACAGAGGAAGGTGAAATCCCCTCCAGTCTGTGCCAGTCTGACCATGGTGTACAGTTCCTTCCTGACCCCAAATAGGGTTAGCTCTCTCTCTCTCCTGACACAATTCTTTTTCTGAGGCTTTTGAATCTGCTTACAGATCAGTGCAGCCAGCAGCAGCTGCTTTGTAACACAACCTTCATGTATTTTTAGGCTGGAGAGGTGTTACGTAACCTGGTTCTTCTCCCGCCTCTGATTCAGGACCCAGACTGGTGCGGATACAGTGGAGCTAGGGGGCTCAGTAACTTAGGGTGCACTGTGTTTGTGTGAGTGCAGGTCCTTCATCTCCTCCCATGACATGGAGGTGACTGTCAGCAAATGATTTAACTGCTCTCTGGCACTCTCTGCTCCAGGGGAACATCGTAGTGCTGGTGCACAGCAGTGAGGACTCGGATGATACGGAGAATGAGTTGGTCGTGAAGGCCCTGTGTCACCAGAGCAACCTCATCCTGTGGGCAGAGGGGCTGGCCACCGGCTTCTGCAAAGACATCCATGGACAGGTAACTCCTGGGAGAGTTTGCTCCCTTCTCTTGCTGATGGATGACACGTGGCAGTCAGGAAGTTCCCAAGCAGCACAGGGCTAGTGCCCTGGGGTTGTTTGTATTGCAATAGGCTCTGGAGAGGTTCCAGCAAGAACTGCTCTGTCCTGTAGAGCAGCCCTCGGGCTGTTCTACTCAGTACCTTGGTAATAATGGTGTGCTGGCACAGTAATGACATCCCCTCCTCCTGACGTGACCTCTTGGGAGAGGAAAGAGCCATTATAGCAGCTCTCTGCTGATCTCCAGGCTTCACCCTGCTGGCTCAGATCCCCTGGAACAGTGCAGCCAGAGCAAAGCAAGGCTTGCTGGGGGAGGCACATGCCATGAAGTCCGTGCTGCTGGGAGGGAAAGGTAGGACAACAGGGCTCTGCAGCCCGGGCTGCTCCTGTAGCACAGAGGTGATGATGGCTGTGGTATAACGTGGAGGAGCTTCTCTCAGCAACCACTTCAGATGACCCCAGGCCTGGTTTGGAGGCAGGGAAGGGCTGGGCACTATTGAGGACTCAGTTAGCTGCTTGGCCTCTGCTCAGGCTGCCACCAGCAAAGGTGCCTGCTTTGGTGACGGAAGGGTAATCCCTGGGTTGGCAGTCACAACCCTGCCAGCCAGGACAGTGAGGGATGTGAAAGGCTTTTTAGCCCAAGCTGCATCGTTGACATGTCAGGCCTTTCTCTTGGGGTGATGGGGCTGTGACAGCAGCCACAGGAAAGCTGCTCCCAATCTTGTTTCTTGTTTGCAGCTGAAGATTATTCCGAGGGGGCCAGCAGAGCTGTCCACAGAGAGGGATCTCCCCCGAACCTACCAGTACAAAATTCAGGACAGGAATGTCACATTCTTCGCCAGAGGGATGTCCGCAGCCGTACTGTGATCTTGGAGGCCTGGGGCAGAGAGGATGGTGGTGCTTAATACCTGGGAAAACAGAATGTGGCAGCAGCTCAGCCCAGTCCCCCTCCCATCACTGCCCCCAAACATCCTGATGCAGCCTCAGCCCTGCTGAGATCTCTGTCTGGGTGCAGTGATTCACTTGGCTGGTGCTTGTTGTGGGATCGGTGCCTCAGCCCATTCCCTCTGCCCTGCCCTTGGGCCACGTTCCAGCCTCAGGGAACTGGGAAGAGCAAAATGTACTGCAGTGATCAGTGAATTCCAAATGCAGATACATCGGGCGAGCAGCTGCCATCTCCAGGCCGACACTGACTGTTTGTATTGCAGTAGGCTCTGGAGAGGACTGGGCGTCTGGTGCCAAGCACTGGGCACATGCACAGTCTGTGCCCTGCTGCACTTGCAATCCAAGGCCTTCCTTTCATGTGGCTGCTAGAAGTTCTGGTGGCAGAGAGCAGCTGCTGGGAGGAAGCCCCCAGCACGTGGCATCTTGAAGGCTCTGCATAGCTCCTGTTAGACCTGGGCAGCTTGGCTTAAGCAGCTGTGCTGGCAGGGCATGGGAGGCACCTTGGCAGGGTGTGGGAAGCACCAGCTGGCAAAGGGGCTGCAATAGCTGGCAGAAAGAGCAGTTGAGTCCATACAGCTGGTCCTTCCCCACTGGCAGAAGAAAGGACCTGTGCTGCTGTGGTGTGGACGTGCTCATGATTGGCTGCGTCAACCCCTCTCTCCCCCATCTGGTTTTGTCTAATTCAAGTGTGGGCGCCTCACGTTACATTTCTCATTTTGTATTAAATACAGATCCTACTGTTCTTGGCCCTCTGTCTCTGCTGGAGTCTCCAGCCATTGCTGGAATGCAAGTAATTAATCCTAGGCACCACCAGCATCTGTCTGAGAAAACCCTGCTGGGAGCTCATCACTCACTTGGCTTTAATTTAAAGTCACAAGCAGTAAGTTAACTGATACCATGTTGTGACAGCTTGGCGGGGGGGCGAGGGCTTGCTTGAGCAGAAAGGCCAGCTGTGGGTAGAAGACACTGCTGGCGTTCTTGGTGAGTTCCAGCCACAGTCCCTTGAGTCACCTGGATGTTTCTGCTAAGCTTGCCATCTTAAATCCTCCCTTGG